GGCTCCCTGAAGAGACTGCCCTTCATCATGGATGGAGAGTGTCACCAACGGAAGGACCTGAGGATTTTCTGTGGAACTTGAACCTTGGCAATGGAGTTGCTGACATTGGCTCTTTGAAGTGGAAGAAGAAACCCCTGGAGCTCCCTCAGTTGTGCCCATGGTATTATGGCCAGGCAGGAGATCATCTTTCTGAGCAACTGGGAAAGGATGACAATGGTCACCTGATGCGAGGCCTGAACTTGTTGGATCAGCGACTTGATGCTATTGATGCGGTCTTGGAAGAGAAATACTTGGCAAGACAAGGTGTCTATTACTGCTGCCAAGTGAAGCAATCTGGTGTTGGAAGTCAGGTGGCTTTTCTCCAGGTTGATGGAGAAATAGTAGATCTGAAGACTGTGCATCATGATGGTGAGGTCGCGCAAAGCTTGCTGCCGGTAGGATGACGGGATCAGGATGTCGGCCAGATAGCATTGGAGCCTGGATCAACTTCCAGTTAGCACTGCAACGAGACAGACTGGGAAACAGATCCTGAGGGACCCATGGAATCCAGGCTGACAAACCATTGCCTGGGGGTCTTTTAGTCAGGAACCTTCTTGGAGTGAAGGTGAAAAAAGAGCGGCATCTCGAACAACCAAGAGAACAAACTAGTTCCTCGGAAGACTAGCTCTATCACCAGGCGATGGGGGAGGCAGACATGGCAAAGTGTCTGTCATAAAGTTGGAGGCAACCAGGCTAAGCTGGATCCTGATAGGGTGCGACTGGAGAAAGGTGCCACCACAGACAGCACTTGGTGAAGGTCTTAGGGGCCAATGACGGACCAAACAGCAAGGCTCAGTATTGAGAACATCAGGAATCTTTGTGACTGCCGAATGGGAACGTGCAGGGATGCTTCCTTCAGATCTATGGATGTTAACAGATCTCCCTACCTGATGCAGCCCAGGATCGACTGTAGGGAGTGTATCTTGAAATGCTCGTATGCTAGATGTTTGCTGAGCAGCTTCAAATCCAAAATTGCTCTCACCCTGCTCAAGTTCTTGGGGACTAAAAATAGAATTGAATAGAACCCCCTACCTTCCTGTCCCTGGGGCACTGACTCTATGGCTTTGATGTCGAGAAGATGAAGGATCTTGGTTTTTGGACACTTTTCTTGACTGGGCAGAAGGTAGTGGGGCAACAAATGAAGTGGCGCAGTGGGGGGAAGATGAATTCCAGGGTGAGGCCCTGCCTCACTGTCTGGAGGACCTACTGATCTGTGGTGATCAACTCCCACTGGTTGGCGAACAGTTGTAGTCACCCCCCAATGGGAGGGATCTGATGATGGTCACTTATTCTGATGGAAGGGTCTGGAGCCTGACCCCCCCCCTTGAAATGACCGCCTGAAAAAAAATTGTGGCCTGTTTCTGTCCCGAAAGGACTGCCAGTCCTGGGATGGTCAAAGCTCTGAGAATAGGGGCGTTGGAAGGAAGTGGAACTAATTACCGGTTCAGGAGTCACCTGGGTGCCTGCCAGTCACCTGGGTGCCTGCCTGCGGAAGTAACAAGGGGATCAATGGTCTGCCCTTTTGGAGACAGAGGGCAAAGGACTACATCTAAGGATTCCCCAAACAATTTTCCCCCCTTGAAGGGGGAAGATGCCAATTTCCATTTGGACCTCATGTCCATGTTCCAATATCGAAGCCACAAAAGGCGACACATGGTGACATTTGAGGCCAGAGCCCTTGAGGCGAACTTGACGGCATTAAGCATGGCATCCGACAAATTCTCTGCCGCCACTATTATTTTGTTTACATTCTGGTGCAGCCTGGCTTCGCCGGCAGGTAACCTAGTTTGCAATTTATAAAGTCATAAAAGGGAAGCCCTATTAAAAAAGGATGTGGACATGTCCGCTTTAATGGGCCATACCATTGCCTGATGAGTTTTGTGACAGGCTTTCTCAGATCTCTTATCCTCCACCTTTAAGCCCTCTAAAAGGTCTGGAGGAAGTACAGAAGATGAGGTGAGGGAAGTCACAGGGGCATCCACTGGAGACAACTTGAGGAGTTCCTCAAATGCAGGGTCCATGGTGTACAATTTTTTGTTAGTGTCACTGGGGTAGCAATGGCGCCTGGCTGTGCCCACTGCCTCTGAATTATATCTTGAAATAACTTAGGCAAAGGAATGATCTCCTGAGCCTGGACCAGGTCATCAAACAGGCCTTCACTAGGATCCTGGGGTGCCTTAGTGCCCTGATCAGGGGCTGGGGTCACCCCCAATTAGCTGGAGGCCTTGACCTTGTATAAGATGTATTTAAAGAGCCTTGCAAAGGAAGGGAACTCGGGAACAAAGCCTTCGTCCTCAGAAAATTCCTGCTCAGCTGTATCATTGTCCCCCCAGACAGATTCTCCTCTAGCCAGAGAGGTGTGGGGAGATGATGAACGCTGTAGCCATGTCCTGCCCTGGACTGAGGGCTAGTTGAGGAGCTGGCAATGATCTCATTGTTGAAGATCTTTGGATGTACTTTGGGAAATGGCTTTAGCTATGATCTCTCGCATCTCTGAGGATAGCGAAGATGCCTGATCCTCCACCATGCGTGATGGAGCCACAGTTGCAGCTATAGTAGGCATTGGAACCACTGGCAAGGAAATGGTCAGCTGTTCCTCCTGGAGACCAGGCAAATAACTCCCCAGCCCCACTAAGCAATCGCAAGCAATCGTTAGACTTATATACCGCTTCATAGGGCTTTCAGCCCTCTCTAAGCGGTTTACAGAGTCAGCATATTGCCCCCAACAACAATCTGGGTCCTCATTTTACCCACCTCGGAAGGATGGAAGGTTGAGTTAACCTTGAGCCTGGTGGGATTTGAACAGCCGAACTGCTGAACTGCAGTCAGCTGAAGTAGCCTGCAGTGCTGCATTTAACCACTGCGCCACCTCGGCTCTAAGGGAGAACCAGGGTGCCCCAAAGCGTCATTAGGGGATAGATCCTGGGGTTCCTCCTCACTATCAGATATAGGGTGGTCTATCCGAGAGGAAACTTGCCTGGTAGGGAGCCTGGAGGGGAAGATTGCTGGGAAGTAGCCATAGCCTGTCAATGGACCTTGACAAATTGTTTCTCCAGCATTTTTTGGTGCCTAGCTGCTATCCTGTTCTGCCCCTTGGCCTGCTTCCTGCCCTGGTATTGAGTCCTGATACTTTCAGGGCCTCACAAGCCTTTTTGCCAGCCTCCCTGGACTAATATCTGCTGGTGGAGCGGCTTGGCTGATCTGCCTCCTTTCTGGGGTCTATGGAAGCCATGGGAGCAGAAGGTGGCTCTTGAAATGCAGAAAGCAAGGCAGGCTGATTTCAGTGCTCACAAGGGGCGAAGAGATGCATTGCCACTCATCCAAGGGTTGCGGGTGAGGCTGCTGGGCATTCACTGATTGCAGGAGTTTGCAGGTTGATGATAGCTTTTAACATGAACCGGAATTGCTCCCAGTGCCAAAGCACATTTCCGATCATGGAGGCTGACCAGGCAGGCCAAGACCTCTGAAGCCACAGAGCAAGGCTCAGGCAAAACAACCCTGCCAGACAGGAGATGCTGGCAGCGATCGGCTGTGGGGCAGGCAAACAGCCAAAAGAAAGCGTGAAGGAGAAAAAAGGTGCAAAAAATTCCAGAACTCAAAATGGCCACCTTGCCACTTGGTGAGGAAGCACTCCAACCTCCGACAATCTGGAGAAGAACCTGGTCAGAGCCCTGTGCACGGGTTCAATCAGCCACATCAAAGTCACAGGTGAGCTGAGCACTCTGGCTGACTGCTGCGGCACCTGAGTTAACCCATAGCGTCACGGTGCCGATGAGGGAGATTAAAGCTAAAAAGACTCCCAACCCACCCCAAGAGGAAAAAAAAACATGAATAAAGGAAATTCAGAAAAAAGGGAAGAATCAAGGAAGAAATCAAAAGACAATTATAAGAGAAGAGTCCAAACTTATCTATCAAGAACTGCTAGAATCTCTTTGGGTTAGACTGAATTGAAAAAACTGACTCTAGCAAGGAACTAGAGGCGTGGACAAAGAAATTCCAATTCAGTCCTTGGGCAGAAGGCAGAATTTAACCCATGCTTGGACTCTCCAAACAGCACACAGGAGAACGGAATATTCAGACTTTTTACTTTTGCAAGACTTTGCATTTTGTGGTTTTCTCCAGTTCTTTCTCTTCTATTTGCTGTCTCTAGGTAGTGCAATCTCCACTATACAGATTTCTTTTTGCTCTTTCTTATCAACAATTCTTAAATCTGGGATATTATATGGCAGATGCCTGTCTGTTCGAATTCTTAAGTTCCAAAGCAATTTAGCTTCTAAATTCTTTATTGAATGTCTATTATTATCTGTTCACAATGTTGTGAAGACATAGATACTAGTTCATCAGCTAGTAGTGGCCTTCACAAGCATCACAATCTTCCCAAGAATTGTCAGTATTGCATATGTGCAGATGCAAGAAGTGTAGCCTTTTGCAATTGACTAATGGAAAGTTTTCACAATACTACAAGGATGTAACGAATAGTGAATAGTCATTCTTGGGGTTTTTTGGTTCAAATTGTTGAGTACAGCTTGTGTCCAATTAAAAATTCCATGAATATATTCTATCACAGGTATTGCCGATGTCTTTGATAGGGTTTCTGCTATTCAATTTGCCTCAAACATTTTTTTCACTCTTCTGATATATTCTTTATTTATTAAATTTAAATTTTTCCATGCTTAATGTTGTCAAAAGTGTAAAATGCCTAAATATCAGGCTTCATCCTGTTTTGCTCCTGATAGCTTCTGCAACAATTCCATTATTGCTTTTGATTTACTGTTATTTGATTTTTTGCTACTGTAGCACATTTTTCTAGGATAAATTCTATTGCTATATCTGTGCTAAAATTATTTTAGTTTTTGTCAATGACTTTGATTTCTAATTTCCCATACTCTGAAAAGTTGCTAAAACACTCTCCGTGAATCCAGACAGCAAAGACAAAGAAGAATGCATACATTAATTCTTACCTTTATTCCACAAATGATAAAAATGTTCTTTGTTCAAAGGCTGATTAAGAATCAGAAGGCAAAACTTTAGGTTTCCTGAAAAACAGGTAATATTGACAAATTGTTCAGAATTTACAATTCTACCATTTGTTTCCTCTCAACATACAGCTAAGATAACCTAGAAATATCACATTACTGTATCATTTCTGAAGAAAAAGGCAAACTTTACATCAAATTGTATGATGATTAGAAAGCAAAAAAGTATTTTGAATATGTTTTAACAATATGTTTAAAAACTCTAATAGGGACATATGGCACTTGTATTAATATAGTACATGAAATCAAGTAATAGTAGAAAGTACATTAGCCATAGATTTATAAGTATTACAGTAAAATGAGGTATTAGACTGAATCTTATAGAGGGGTTGCCACAATGAAGAGGGAGTCAAACTATTCTCCAAGGCACCTGACATGATTGCGCATGTGTGAGGAAGATGGCTGCTTGAGCTTTTCGCTCGGGTGTGAAGAACAAACAACCTAGCTGATAACCCGA